GTGCAGCATCTTTCGCACTAAGGGCCCTCCCATCCATCCCCCGTCCATCAGTCTGTAGCCACAAGGGACCGGCACGGGACCAGAAAACCTCCCAGCTTCCAGTCCACTGGATCTGTCGAGCCAGGATACCCGTCCGCCTCCGTTCCCTTGTGTAGAAAAGCGTGTGTATCTGTATGTATAAATGGTGGTGGTCCAAGGTACGTGCGCGGTTAACGCTCAGTGCTCCTCTCGGATGAGGAGTGTCTTTTCCCTCCTTCTCCATTGCGTCGTATTTAATCAGCTTGTCAGCGTATTGTTCTCTTCTTGACGACAAGGTTGTCTAAGTCAGGTCAACCGACCCCTTGAGTATCCCGTAGCCGTAGCCGTAGGTATTCGTAGCTTTCCCCTTGCTATCGCCAAGCCTTCCCTCCACCCTTCACCCTGGTCATGTCCTGGCATCTATCCGTACAGACTACGGATACAACCCTTTCTTTCCTGCACCCTCACCCCACGGAGCACAAAGGTGAGGGGCACCTTGGCCTAACTACGGTACACGTCTCTCTCGGGCTGAAGTGCGAGGGAGGTGACGCCGCAAGGAATGTGGAAATTTGCTGCCTGCATGGACAGCGAAGTGCCTTGTTTTACAGTAAACTCTATCTTTCCGAGTTGCTGGGAGGGAGCGAGCCGACTTCCGACCCGGGATTGGCGACTCGCGGGACGGAATACCATGGGGAAACTTGGACTGGATTTTGGGATTTTTCCCCCCTCCTTAGGGGGAGTGGTCCTACGATCGAACGACGGCTGAGAGCCAAGCTTCCATCCCTTCCCTTTCGCCCTTCCCGCTCTGCTGCCCACAGCACCCTCTGTCCTTCGCCTGGGTGCAGTTGTGTGTGGATCGGGATGGGCAACAACATCGTCATGGCTCCAGAATATCTAAGTTTTACAGTGTTTTTCTTTTTCCTGTTCGTGACTCCCGTTGTTTGCGCCATCCCGCCAACATCGTCGCAGCGCCCCTTCTTCGCCTCCCGTCCGAGATGTTGTATAACCTCATCCCGAGGCATGGCAACTCCGATCCTCCAGGACAGGCTCCCGAATAGGGCAAGACTCCCGTTGTTGGATGGATGTACTCCGTATGGATAGGCCTTTCTCATCAAGAGTCAGACGAGGCCCTGCCTTGATACAAACTCTCTTTTGATTATCATCATTCTCTAATTGAATCCTCCGCCTCTATCTCCCGCGCTGGCACCGAACTTGCTACCCATTTTTAACCATCTCGGCCCTTTCATAGCCTTGTTGTTCGACATGCCCCAACGTGCCAACCGGGCCCAGCGACTGTCACGCTTGCTTTCGGTCGTTGACCGAGACCAGCCCCATGCGTGCGATCATCAACGCCTCACGCCCAGCACGACGCTGACCCATTCGCTGTGGCGTTGCAGCGAAGGTCACTCTAAGCAGGGAACCCCGAAGTTGCGACATTCCGTTGTAAACTCTCTGAGAGAGCTACCCCAGCTATCCTCCAACCCGTACCGCCCTGCTACTTGAGCACTAAACTGGTACAGCTACCTGCTGTAGATAGTGTACAACTGGCCCCCCGCACGTCCAGTAATTGAGGGAGAAAAAAAAGCTCTCTGTGCCTGTCTTATCATTGGACCGTTGCGATAATTCTATTCGATGTATGGAGCCTATTCGTCCCTTTTTGGCATATTTGTTGTCCAAATTTGCCTTTACGCGGACCCTGAATAGTCTCTGGAGACTGGAGCCTCTTTGCCGGCACTCCGCTGAAAGGCTGAAAGCACCGCCTTACCTGACTCTCGTCATCTAGACATTGACCTCAACTCACGATAGAGATTGGCCGGTTCGTAAAGCTGGAGTTGTAGGATCTTCACTAGCTCCCTGTTATTTGACCATTTGGGCCCCCGGCTCTCAGTGACTCTCAAAATCACCACGCAACGGCAAACCCCTACAACCAACCCACTGTGGAGTTTCCCTCTAGGTTGTGTCTTTCCGCCCTGGGCTGGGCTCTTGGGAACGGTCCAACAGTGTCTAGGGCATGAGGTTCGACAGCGGAGAAGTAATCAGAATGGGGCCTTAGCTTCCCTACGAAACCTCGAATCCATTACCGCACTTAGTCAACATCTCCGTCGCTTAGCCTAGAATGAATGGTGCCACACCTTGGGCCGCCGTAGCAGACAGAATACCAGTAGCTACGTACTCGTTCAGTGCTTGTATGTAACGGTATTAGCTTGCCTTGACCCCTTACTCTTCCCGGGGCGGCTCTCGATCTCTGATCTAGCCGACGTCTCGGGCCCCGCAAGTGCCATAGGCCCGTTTGCTGCTAGATTGCTAGGTGCTAGAGCACGCGCTATCTGGAGCGCAAGGATTGCAGGAAAACCCCGAGCCACCGCCAATGGACAGCTTGATAATCATCACCAGCCTGCTGGGTCTTTGTGGCAAAGCAAGAGCATCTGTGTAAGCCCGCCAGCGTTCGACCAGATCTATGTGTTAGTCCCGAATATTGCGGAGTGGCTGGTGCCCCAAAGGGCTGAAGAACACCTACCACGGAAGCATGCAAGAGGGTCTCTTTTTTGGTATACGTCCGTAGCACTACGGATATCAGATGGCGCAATACTCTTGAGTCTCTATTCTTTGACCGAGAGCCCGCGCGGTCTCGACGACGGCGCCAACGCTACCGGGTCCTCCAACGGCGATGCAAATTTCGTTATTCAATAACGAGGTAAACCGTGGAATTACGATGACGACTCCTGGGGCCAGTCGAGATTGTCGTGAAACAGACCTGACAACTGAGCGTCGGTCGCTCACCACGGAGGTGTGTCCCAGTTGGGAAAATGCTAGTCGCTCCTCCGAAAGGCAAAACAGCATCACAGCAGTGATGAGCACCGCAGGTGTGCCAGGCAGAGGCTGGACTTGAAGAGCTGCGCCTGGTCCGGCACAGGGGGCCTGCTGTTGCTCATCTTTGGCATTCCTCCGCAGACCGTCCACCTTCATTCACCCCCATTCAGAGTTTGTTTCTGAGCAGCGGCTTTTCCGGACCGGTTGTGGATCGACCATCGTCTGTTCTGGCCTGCCTGTCCACAATTCCACCGCCCTGCCTGCCTTGCACCTATGGTGAGCTCCGGATGTGCCAGGCACGGAACGGCACAGGTAGGCGGCTTGGTGATGGGGGTCAAGCGGAGTTGGGGTGCGCCGGTCTGCATGGCACGAGACATCCGGGCCAGAGCATCAGCCAGTTGTCCAGGCACGGAACGGCACAGGTAGACGGCTTGGTTCGACACGGTTTTGGCAGAGGTTGCAGTAGTGAAGGCTGACCGTGAGGTACCTGAATGGAGTACTGATCAGTGATGGGCGAAGGGGCCGAGGGTAGTGTGAGGTAGGGGGAGGCCAACTTCAGATCCCGAGGTTGCTGGGGACCCCCCAGGCCCCGCGTAAGAAACAGAGTTTTGATCCAAAACCTAGACAGCTTGTGTGGCTTCCACATGGTTATCATTTTTGGAAACCCCATCTCACTCATCGCTGACAACGACCGACGACAAAAGTCAGAAAGAAGGGTTCTGCTCCGTGAAAAACTGGGGCGAGTCAGGATTCGATGGCCCACCGGTTCCCACCTGTTCCACCGGTTGGACGTGCTGCCCTGGCCCTCTTTCTAGAAGACCGAGAACTTTAAATTCTGGAGAAGTACGGAGCCGGGCTGGGTGATCATGCAGAGGCCTGACAAGCAGGAACCAACAGTGCCACGGCAGACGTGAGGGAGGGATGCTGTGGGTGTTCTACCGTTTGAGGTAGACGGTCAGGTCCCGGTCAGGCGGCGGTGAACCGGATTCCATCGTTGAGCAACCCACTCGGACTGAGCAATGAGAAGCACCCCTCGTCCGTTATTGAGGTGGCCAGCAAACTCTATGCTCCTTCAGCTCTTGAGTGTGGAGAGTTAACTGAAGACATCACCGTCAGGACCCATGTGAGAGTCTCCAGGGGGGGTCAAGAGGCGAGTCGCGGATAGGCAAGGCAAAGCGAGGCAAGAGGCCACCCCATTCAGTGCCGTGGCACCGTTCCGCACTTCGATTTCCGCTCACGGGGTAGAGATTCATCTCAAGGGTCTGGATGGCTCTACAGACTTCGGGAGATTGTGGGCGGGTCGGCTTCGACGGGAAGCACATCGCGGCCACCGACCAAAGCTCTCACCATCGCGTGGCCAGGCCCGGTCAACGAGCCTTCAATCGGCCACATTCCGTTGCCCACTATGACCAGCAGCCACCATCACCACCCGGTGCTTGGTCCAACTACGCCGCAGTAAAGCCGTGGCCGTGCCGGAGACCTGCGTCACCTTATCAATCTGGGATATCATGACCGGCTGGGAATCCCCTCGCGGAGTCGGTTCAATTGAGGCAGTAGCTCGGCCGTGGGGTTTTGACGTTTGGTGCTCGACCACAGACCTGTGCGCGCCACCGAGACTGAAGCGCGGTCTCTCTTAGTTCGGGAACCATGAATCGAGCATGATTCTCGAAGCCCGGAAGAACATTCAGTAGCGCTGTTTGCTACATGCGCTTGGACGACGCTTTGCTCCTCGCTTGTCTTGTATCCGCTGGATGTCAACAACTCTTTCATCCGTTCAAGTCTCCACGCCAAGGCCCTCTCCGGGCCCTTGACTTCGGGCATGATGTTTCGACGATGGCAAGATTCAGCAAAACTTTGGATCATTCCCACACACTCGGGAGTCACGGCTCGTTGACAGCCCAGCGTCGATTACAATGCGAAAACACAAATAGTGCCGTCTGTTGGTCATCATGCCGTGCATTTCCGGTAGCACTTTGTATCGAAGCAAATTCTATTCAGCCAAGCCAACTGTATTATACACATATCGGCACAAAGTTTCCAACCATTGCGGAACGCTGTTGGATGCTGCCATGCTGGTCTAAATGGTGAGTGGGTCTATAAGTCGTCAATAAGAAAAACCAGGACCGATTCGCACGCCAATCCCGAGAATAAGGCGAGCGTCTCGTTCAATTGATAATACATTAAGGAGGTGCCCGGCATCCCAGGATCTCCGACCCACCAGCCGAGCGGAGGCTGGACGGGCCCCAGACTTCGGCTTATTTGCTCCGCCGTTTGCCGATCTGCCATCCCCATGATCTGAGCACCTTGACAACCTTTGGCGTAACCGCGGCGGTCAAAGGCACTCTGAGGAAGATGAAACTTTTATGGATTGCATATGCCAAAGCCAACTGAGTTCCCAAGCCTACAACATAGTCAGTTCGTGGAGCTTCTCAACCCTCTATTGTAGGAGTTCTCGTGTTGCAGTTCGTGTCGACTTACTGGCTTCCGCTTTGTTGGCGCGCTGAGCTTCCTCAACTCCCCAGGTCGCCTTCTCAACTGCATCGCTGATGTCGTTGTTTCCCAGCTGCTCGGTCTCGGCCTTGCTGAGTGCGGCTCTGTATTCGGTCCACCAGGTCTTGACTGAATCAGGGATCACTTTTTGGACGTGGGACACTACCCAGTGCTCCAGTTGACCTACAGCCTATGCGTCAGTACTGACTCACCACACTTAGACTCGCATATATTGCTCACCAATCCGGTCGGTTCCAACGATCCGCACGAGCAGGAAACAAAAGGGAAAATCCAGAACGCTCAAGGCCAGATACACGCCAACAGCCGACCACCCATATTCGCGCGAAAGCTTCTTCAACCTTTGGCTGAGCGAAAGCGATTCCTTGGCAGCACCGTCTGCCGAGTTGCTCTGCCTAGCGGAGAACCGGAACGTCCGGCGTGATGATCGGAAGATCGTTTCGAGCCGAGACGTGATCCAGCTTGAAGTCTGACTTTGCGACCAGCGAAATTGGGATTGCGATGCGCCAGGTCTTGGATATGTTGCTCGCGGTGGTGTCGTCTTGAAAGTTCTCGTTGGCGCAGTGAACTGCTTCCTCCACAGTGCCTCTGTTGCATTTTGTCTCGCTGCCGGTATCGCACGGCGCGGCATGGTTGCCAATCGGAAAGCTGGTCGCATCATCTTGATGGCTAGCACGGTTACGCCAATAGCCCCTTAACACAGGTCGTTGGTTCTTAGGGCTTGTTGTGGTATGTCTCGACTCAGTCAAGGTGATAAGGTCGGTCGTGAGTGATGGGTTGCGATGGAGACGCGCCGGGCTTATCGAGCTTGCGTGCGAACGGAATTTCTGTTGGAAGGTTGGGGTCCGAAGCGCCGTAAACTCCGCGTGAATGACGACAAAAAGTGTGTTTTGCCTCCGATGCGCCGGTCTCCGATGGTACCGTCGTCGCCGAAGCTTCCAGTCGTCGGTGTGCGCACACAGTCAGCCCAAAAGTTCGCAGAAAGGCTCGGTCGTACTGATCAGTGCGGATGCTGCTTCGGTGGCTTACGCGCGCGGCGAAAGTCACGTTGGTTCTCGCGTCTTTGACCCTGGATGTTGAAAAAATCTGACGAGAAATGGAGCTCTTCCGACGAACTGCCCAGCTGTGTCGTGGGTACCCGGTAGAGGCGGCACCAGCATGCGGAACATGCCGTCAGAGATGTGGCTATTGATGTGGTGGCGTATTGATCACGTGAGTATCCTCGGAAAAGATTGGTGCCGGTATCCGACCTCATCTCATCACTCGGAAGTCGGCCCGGGTCAGTCTCAGATACGAAGGTGTCTGCGACAAGCAACAAACTTTACTCTTCCTACGCATGCTGTGTCTTAAACACCCCATGATAACTTCACCGCCATCACAAATCACTCGCACTGACTAGTCCGTCCTCTTGGCTCCAACAACAGGCAGAAATTTCGAGTGGTCTGGAACCAACATATTGGATTCATCGCTCATTAAAAGTCAATCTGCGGAATGTGTTAGCCTCAGACATCGCTGCGATATTCTCCCATTCGCTCGCATCAAATTTACGAGGGCCATCTTAACTTAAAATCGTATTAGGTGATTAAATAAATTGTCAGCAGGCCTTAGAACTGATGCGATCCCTCGAGTGGAAAGGTTTGCCTACGAATACGCACTACTTTCCCTTAGGATCTCTGTTTTGCCCCACGATCTCCTCTGGGTTAAGGGCTACAGGCAATTCGTCCAGGGTGTTGGACAGGGGCTTCCACTTTGGAAGCTACCTAATGGCTCAAGCTCCGTGACACCTCGGAGTATCGATAGGTCGGCTGCGCCATCCTCCGTCCAAAGCTTCGTAGAAGTCCTCGGTGTTTCTCTGGCAGTAGTTTCTCCTTTTCTCCCATCTTTGTACGTGGTGATGATGCAACTATCAATGATTCCATCCAACGTTCACAGTTACTGTACCAGGCAACCGGATAATTCAATACAAACTCTATCGCAACAAATATCAGTAATCAGGTTTTCTGCCAAACTTTGGACCGCGCTTCGTCATATCGAATAGGAAACGAGAGATTCGGAGTGAGCCCGAAGATTATCCAGGTGGACATTCATCGGATTTAGGTCCGATCAGCATTGGCATTACCACCCTGGCATCGCCATGGAGTTCAAACATGAACGTGTCATGGACCAACAAGGACCGCCAGGTTCAGGCTTATCAGCCCCGATTGCCGCCTATAGCTCAAGCCGCCGCCGTTGTCCAATTCCACCAACCGACCGCACTTCCGTCCCCGAGACCCGGAAGACGGTGGGCGGAGAGGTCGGTGATCCCGGGCTGCCATGGCTTCGATATTGCTGCTTGGGAGTTTCTTATATCACCATGATAAACTCAGAATTCTACCGAATGATTCAACCGAATCATCGAGCGTTCATTATTGGTGTTTCAGTTCAGCCTTGTTGACCGCTTCAAGTACGACCAAACTTTGCAGGCAGCAGGTGATCACGGTGATCTCTCCGTTCAGACAGGGTAATTGGAGGGATATCAATAGCGCAAACTTTCTTAAGGACCCTTCAACCCAGTCCAGGTCCCGGTAGTGTAGAGCGCGCTTGCGACGACCGTGCGGGGCCCGGCAGGCAGAAGGGTCTTCTACGGACAAGGTTTGCGATACAAGTACGAGTGCTTGTCGTCAGGGATGCTAAAGTCAAATTCCCACCAGGGCTCGCCGGGCTGAAAAGTCAGGATGCTTTCATGATTTTACATTACAAACAGCTTACATTTTACGGTCTAGCGGTTTTCAGTCGCACGATATGCTGTTGGTTGGTAATTGAATAATGCCACGACGTGCACCACCAGCAGGCTCGGCACCCCGAGCTCCTCCGAACCCGTTGGCGCACTTCGGGTCCGGTTCGTGGTTCATGGCGAGACCCTCTGGACATCTGGGTCCCCTGGTACGATGCCACCCCCACCACGGATATTTTGCTTGGCGTCTACTTGGATCGGATGCATACATCCTGGTGGTAGCTGACTTATGGGCGAAGGGGTGAACGTAAGGATGATCAGTGTGGGTGGGTCGGTGGGTGGGTGTGCGTTTGTCAAAGCGTGTGTGTGTGCGTGTGTGTGTGTGTGTGTGTGATAGAGAGAGAGAGAGTGATGAGTGCTCAGAGAAGTGAGTGACTTGCAGCTCTCTGAATGCTAGCATTCGATGACACAGGCACATAACTCGATAGTTCGGATGGTCTATTTTGTGAGGTTTTTTCTTCCAACACCTTTTTTAGGCGTGGCCTCCGCGGCTAACGCGGGAGTCAGGACCCCGCGATAGTTTTTTCACATAGACTTTTTCTCGAACTTTTCCAACCTTCTTGGCGTCTGTGTCCAAAGGCCTCCTCCAACACCGGTGTCCGTCGCCTTCACCGAGGTCTGGAAGTTTAAACCGTACGGAGACAATGCCTTGGCGGCATGCTGCAAATCGTCCACTTTACGCACATCTTGCGACTCGTTATCCCAATTCGTACTCACCCCTTCCTTTCGTCCTTTTTGCGATATGTGCAACATTCAACGTTCGGTCCACTTAGTGCCGGGTATCGTGCATCGTATCCGATACTTCAAGAAATTGTACACATATCCCTGCATCCAATCGATCCATGATTCCACATGGCTATGAGTTGCCGGCCGGGTGCCATTTCCAAGAGCTGGAAGAGACGGGTAGCTCTGATTGGTACACCCCGGTTTCCAGGCTGCCGTGGCTGCTCCGCCTGAGATGGTAACCCTACTAGAATTGGCACAGATGTTGCGATACTGAACCTCGGACTCGAGTCAGGAAGAGCCTCGGAATGGACCTCGTTACGCAGTATATGATTATCAAGCGTCCCAGCGGCCCATTCCGCAATGACTAACGAGAAGACCCGCCGTTTGTTACGCATAGAAACGGTCTACCTCCGACTGCAGTACCAACAATCAGAAGTTCCAGGGCGATGGTGGGCTGTCGTCTGAATCAGCAACCGGGCCAGGTCCGACGATAGCATCGGGCGGGCCCCCCATGGCTTTCCTTTCCGAGGCAATCCCGAGCACGCCTTTTTCTGCTCAAGCTTGATGTTTACTGAGGCGAGAGCCCTGACAGTGAAGCCTTTCCGCCCTCTGACTCGTTTCTCGGGGCGTGGCCCAGGATGGCAAGCTTCCAGAAGCGTGGCACGGTTGGTTTCAGGTACGTATTGCTTACAAAGGGCCAAAAAAAATAGAAGAGAGTTTGTTGTTGGTTGGTGCAATAACCTAAAAGGGTTGTCACGAGTTGCTGAGTTGCCCAGAATTACTCCTTTGGCTCTGGGACACCTTTGGACGAATTACCGTAATCGTAATATGTCCCGAAGCGAACATGGCATTTCGCAAAGAAGAAAAGGAAGGAAAAAATATCAGATAGATTTGTTTCATGTCGTCTGGAAATTTCTGCCCAGAAATGTCGTCAAACAGACATCATGGGACGCTGCTGCCCACGATTCGCAAGTGGCTGCGTGCGGACCGGGCGGAAAGATTCCCGGGATCGATCCCCACTGAGCACCGTGGAACGGTAGCTGAGATGGTGTGTGGACGTCCAAGTTTGTGTGCCCGGCCGTTGCTCACCCGTGCTTCCACGTGTATCAATAGAGAGTGGCCATATCCTGATTGACGTATGCAGGTAGGGTCAGGACGAGTGTACAAGGACCTCATGACACATCTCGAGAGTGGCATCTCCGTACGTGACACCCCTCTATAAACCTAAAATTGCGGTTCGTGTATCGGGCGTTGACCGTACCGTGCCTTACACGTGTATCCGTAGAGTGAGTCCCTTGATCTTTGCAAGAGCCCTGCTCCCAGTCTCTTCACTGAACAAGCTTTCGATTTAATCAAATCAATTGCCTGCCCATTGCAAATTTGTCCTTTTTGAACTCCCTATGCCAAGACATGTTATATCGCCAAACAAGCTCGATATTAGATGTCTGGTCTTCTCTGATGGAACACTTAGGTCATGGCGCACTTTCTCCGATACGAGAGTTGCAAGCATTGTATTGACTGCGGAATTCAAACGTAACCTAAGCAATGACATCCACCTGACAGCTGCGACAGGTTTGTCTCTTTCGGGAAGCTACCACTCAGCTCCCTCCCGCTTCCCGTACGGAACAGTTCTTCTGAGGTCGTGAAGTGGGCGGGCTTTGGGGTTGCCCGGAATCCCCTTTGGGAGAGGCGAGGGAGCATAAGCCACCCAAGAGGCGAGTCCCTCGATGGAAGCTTCCTACTTCTGGGTAGGATCCGTGGTCGAGAGTCGTGCCAGCCGGGACAGTATTCGTGGAAACTGGAGCGGGATTGCGTGCAGCTGCCAAAAGGTTAAAACACCATGGTGGTGTAGTCAAGTACGGGAAGGTGTGCGTGCGTGTCAAACATCGTCATGTGTCACTTGATCAAAGCCCGTAAAGCGTTATTTCAAAGACCGAAAAGCTTAAAGTACTAGCTTTGGAGGCCATTTAGCTGTCCTGTCGTACCTATACAGCCTTTCCGAGTGCGACAACTAAGCTAATGACGGTGTAAATTTCGTCCTGCTTCTGAACTTTCTGTAAATCCCATAATTTTGTCTTTGGGCTGTCAAGAAATGCATGGTCACCAAATAAGAAGTCTTGGAAGCAGTTGTGGTTACATTTCTCTCTGTGAGAGTTCAGAGTTTCGTTAAAGCAAGTCTTGCTGCGCCACGAACTGAAAGCGACAGTCAGGAAACTTGTTTCGCCGGTGTAGGAACCTTTCTCGATCGTATTTCTGCTTTATCGATAGGTATTTTGTGTTTTCGTTGCCAACTAACCTCCCGAACTCTCAACTCCTAAAGCTTTTCGGCGA